TATGTTCAGAGCCAGTCGGAAGGTGTCTTATAGATTCTAACAGGTTCACCGACCTCCCGGATATCCAGTGACTGGTGCGGTGACGATGGATAGTGTCACAAGCAGATGCTCCTGCGTCGTGCATGGCGGCCGAGATCCTATTCCACTGAAACTCAGTGTCACTAGGACAAGACAGCGAAAGTTTGGTACGCATTGCCTCTTGATAGGCTTGCCTGACCGAGGACTGAGACAATTTCTCCGTTGCCAATCGTCGGGGACGCTTGGTGCGCCTCCCGGTAAAGTTCATGGAGAAACGACGGCGCACCAAGGCATGATAAGAGTCGACACAGGTACTCCAGCACAAGCGGCAATCCAGAATGGAACCGCGCCATCTGTAACTTATGGCTATGTGGTCAATTTGGGTCCATCGCTGGCCAGCTACAGGTGGACGCCAAGTGGCACTTCGGCGCCCACTGTGTCTAAAAGCAGTGCTAGTAAGAAACAACTGGTGCTCCGCACACAGTTGCAGCCGACGCTCACCGTTATCAGTCCGTTCAAAGTTAAGCCCATATTTACCACCCAGCTGAGCTTCTGAAGAGTTCAGACGCCCTACTTGTGCGTTCATATCCTCTGCAAGTACTATTATATCTGAACTAGTAGCACTGCGTAGTAGCGCGTCCAGTTCGTGATAGAATGTTTCCTTGAGAACATCTGATCTGCAGTCGGTGGGAGCATAAGCGGAAATCACAAATAAACAGAGTTTTGTACTACTTCGTGAATCAACCTTGGATGATGTCGTCAAACGGGCTGCACATAAACGGCTGTTCACCGGAATCCAATCAACCAACGATGGTTCAGCCTTGGAGCTTAGAATGATACCTACACCAGCTTGACCTGTGAGTGCTGCATCGGCATCTCCGGATGCATGCAACCAATAACGAGAGGATAAGCCGGGTGCAGTTAATTCAATAACCTCGTCAGGGTCATTGATCCTAGTTTCGGACACACAACACACATCAATACCCAGTGTGTCCAAGGTGCGTGCGAGTGCAGCCTGTTGACCTATTTGTCTTAGAGTGCGAACATTGAATGTCGCCATGGAAACGGGATAGCGTAGCCTTATAAGGGACTTTTGCCGATAGGCGTCCAGTGTCTGGCGCGAGACGGTGGCTGCAGATGGTTCTACTCCAGTGGCATTTCTCTTGCTGTCATTTAAGCTGGGAATTATAGAAGGAAGGTTAGTAATGGGGTCGGGATGGGATTAAGAGAAAAAAGTGGAAAAGAAAGAAGGGAGGCGCCAGCAGTAGCATGTTTTCGCTTATCCGCCCTGCTGTATGCAGCCGATAAGGCGACCCTTGATAATCTGCGCGACGGCCGATGCAGGATGAAGTTTATGTCTGAAGAAAATGTCATGGTTGTATGTGGGCTGAGATACTGCCAGGGCGCGCAGACCTAGACAGGAGGACGATTAGCGTCCTCATCCAAAGCCCTTGGCTCAAAAGCCTGTCCGCAAGGCAGCGGGGAGGTGGCAATGATTTAGTTTTACAGAAATGGACGCCATCCCATTTCAACCCCCAACCTGGAGGACCAGGAGACTGAGTTTGGCTGACCTCTCACCACTGACCAACCTGGTAGGAGTAGCTCTCAAGATGCTCGGAGGCATCACCCAGTATAGCTCAATGGGTCAATGGGGTACGCAAACCGTCGCACCACGTTAAGGTCCAGTCTCGTTGCGACGGCACAATGATCACGGATGCCCATGAATGGAAACCCTTTCAGATTTGGCGAGAAACCGTGCGTGATGGGGGCATATTGTGACACTCTGCTCCCATAACACTGTTTACAACCTCTTTGCCTCTCTTCATTTACTTATTGTATTTCCCATACTTTGTGGCGCTATGCCAGTTTTACGATATATATATATATATACGCCGCCAAAATCGTTCATGTACTACGAACCTTTGTTATCCCGAACCAGCTGGACGGAATTCGTCCACGCCGCCTACTCTGTCATCTCGGAGGAATTTAATCGCTTAGCTCACCGAATGCTTCTTGACAAGCTACGGAGCTACGGAATCAGTTAACTTACCTTTATCTGTATTCATTCATTCCTGCTCTAAAGCGGGTTGAATGCGGGAGTTCGTAGCACCTTGTCCGACCCAATAGATGATCAGTGTGGCGTCCTTCAAAGCTCGGTACTGGGACCAAGTTTATTCCTCGTGTTCATAAACGACCTCGCGGGAGTGCTGATGTCGAACTTTCTTCGCTTTGCGGACTACCAAGATTTGGAAGGCAATCAAACTAGCAGAGTACCAATTAGCACTTCAAGGTTATCTTGACAGGGCTTACGAGTGGTCGGCGCAAAATATGCTTGAGATTAACCTGGTTATGTATAAAATAAAGTGCATACGCCACCAGAGCACCTACCAAAGTCGACGGGGAGACCACCTCCTGCAGTGCGCTTCTGATGAAAATGCTCTTGGGTTACTCGTACAGGACAATGCCGGATGCCCAAAGCAGGCTGATATGACAGCCTGCACACTTGTGCCTACTGCGGAAGTTGTTTGGCCGATTCGATTCCACCTCCCTTTAACAAATGCAAAATCGGTACGTGAGGCCACATGTGGAATACGCCATTCGGGTGTGGCGCCCCTGGGCAAATCATAACTTCACAGCTACTGAGAAGGCACAACGGAAAGGGACAAAATATGTTTACACTACCAGATCTGAGGCCGTGAAACTAACTGTCCCTTATACCTGGGCTCCTTAGCTTTAAAATCATCAACATGATATAAAAGATGGTAGTCACATGCAAACGAGGAGTTAGAATAAGATGCAACTTAGAGACATTGTAGAAAATAGGTATTAGGCAAAGTTCCGAAATTAGGTACAGCCGTCTGGCAGCATTAAGGCATTGCTCCAGTTCCCTTACCAGTTAAGACTCAAGACTCTAGGAGTTTTCAGGAAAGAATGTAGTCTTCTACAGAGTAGTTACATATTGGTTTATCAGATCTACTAAGATCCTAACCAACCATGCCGACCCTTGTTGAAAATCAACCACAGCACCTCACTGAAAGACCTCCAATTTGAACTTGGCGACCCAGTATACCTGGTTGGAATGTCGCGTGAATATATTCTCCATTAGAGTATCGTAGCCATGGAATTCACTTCCGTCGGTAGATTGGCTGAATTCAAAACTCGGCTTGATGATGCATTACACTAGCTGCATTACACGATTTAATCCAAGTTACGCGTACACGTTTCGACCTAACCAAAGTATGTGTGCACGCGAAATTAGCGGTAAATCCACTGTTACGCGTTTTTGTTGTTATGATGCATCAGATTTCGATCCCACTTTTTATCTACGGAAAAATGTTAAGCTTTTGTCTTTACATCCGTGATAAAGCCATTTTTCAATTGTACAACTTTTAAACCACCGATTGGTGGCTGGAAAAGCGTCCCAACGCTAATGACTAAAATCTTGCGGTGTTGAAACACCTGTTGTGTGAATGGATTGCGATGCGGAATCTTAATCTAACTTGCGACTCGTACTGGGCAGCATTTTGGCCAATTTGGTCACTGAAACCGTATGTTATGATGTGCTTCTCATATGATAGTTGCAAGTGATAACACGTAGGAGACATGCCAAGTACAAGAATACGGAGCACATTCACGGTCTCTGGACTCAACATGTATTAAATGAAAAGCTGGTGAGCGTGATCTGAGAATCCTGCAGCGCACGGCGAAACGAGGAAGCGCAGTTGATCAGGCTTAACAATTATTCAAACAAATGGACGGTTACGGGCTATAAGTACTAGTAAAATAAAATGTTAAAATATATTGAATCAATATTTCGGGTTCAGTACAATTTGAAACTGATAGAGGTTGGGTGCCGTCCGCTGGAAGCCCCAAGATATCGGACTCGAGTAGCAGTGCTGAGTGCAAGCAAATACGAAATTGACAGTGGAGCGCAGTGTTGTGTACGAGCGGACGACATCCAATTTAATTCTACTTCACCTACGGATCCCATTAACCAAATTGAGCCCGACACATTTTGGTGTGAATCCATGCGCAGACGAGTGCTCCAAAATGTTCCCTCCAATAAACAGCAGTTCTGCTAAGTCCAACTCTCCAAAATGTGAGGGTTCAGTAAATACTACGCAGCAACTTATACTGACTATATCCTTGTGATGAAACAGAACCTGACCACTTGCACCAAGCCGGTTCCGTACCGGCTGTCAAACATCTCCTCTACACTCTCGCTTTTACCACGGGTTTTCTAAACCTGTGGGTAGATAAGAGATTGGGTCAAGGCAATGACTCACTTGATGCGACATCCGTGAAATATCCCAAGGTTTTAGATTTGATCGTTTGACGCATTGTCTGGGCGTTTGCTCAGAGGGTTACTATTCAAGTTGCTTTATGTGCTCATTCCAATACTTTTACTAAGACCTATTTTTAAATAACTCGCGGAAGCTAAAGTAGTTTTACCGGTTTCCTCGACTGGCGGGGCCTTTAAGTCGGCTGTTGCCTTTTCAAAGAGACATTGCCGTTACTTTATCTACTGCGGATCTATTCTTTTCACCGAGCTTTCTTTGACATTTCCTCCCGTTAGATTAGTTACAAGGTCATTGAGGCTGTCCTTTGTCAATATTTGTAAAGGAATTATAACATACTGCGCCTATTGTGTGAGGTTATCAGAATGCGTTTTGTAATTTAAGGAATTTGTATCCGGATCGATAAGATTGGCTCCATAGCTGCGTCGTCAGGAGCATGCAGAATCGGGACTGTTTATTTGAGTAACACTTGTACTATGATACAATTTTTCATATTTTAAATTTTGCCCTTTTGATGAGTGTTTTAAAACGCCCGTAGTGGATATTGTAAATTGCTGAAAATGTACCCACTCGGGTACATAAAGTAGCAACTGACTTGTCTCGAGTTGTCACTTGAACATGAAACACAAGGCAGCACATAATTGGTGTTTGATAACAACGAGCTTCACTATTGTTCCCTTGCAGCAGACATGTTGAGGCGAGCGCTGTGTGCGTGTACTCCGAATCGGACCTGGATGCTTCCTTTGATAGCGCGCTACTTTCTGTAGCAATGGATGGACATTTCTCTGAGAAACACAATCCGTTTCCCGATACCGTGAGTTCAGCTAGGAACCATGCAATTAATTGTTTACCTACCCATCTAGCACTGCACAATAGGTGGGTTACACTAGAACCAAATTTGCTTTGGAATTTGTGCCACCGGCCAATCTCTGCGAGATGATGAACCCTGAAGGGTAGTGTGGCTAATAGATGCACAGCATGTAATTCTTCAGCGCTAAAATAACACATTCGATTTGATTTTACATCTTTAAAGTGCAAGTCTGAAAGTGGTTCTTGCGTATGATCGAGTTTTGTGGGGAATAAGGCAGTGAAGATACAATCCATGTGTGTCCAGCAAACATGCTTCTGTTCCAAGGACTTGTTAACTCATAGTGCGTTTATCTACCCGTAGGTTTCGACCTGCAGGGTCGGCCGACTGACTTCCTATTATTGCTGAACTGCTGTTAAGGTACCCTTTCAGTGGTTTATTACGAAACCTATTTGTTAGTAGCATTGACAAACGATGTGTCACCGTCCATCAAGTCGTCCTGTTAAGCCACGCTTATGCCGCGGTCAATCTGAGGTTCCGTATCCATAAGGTTTAAGCTTGTGGTTTGCGACAAACCGGTGAATCGGATTAAAGTCCGATTTCAGCAACCTGAAAATTGGGAACCTTCCGACCGTTGCTTCCTTCTTATCGTTTTCGTTTACAGTGCGGATGCGACTTTTGTAGCGTAACGGAGCAGGAGGAAGTTCATTTCCCTTAAATGCTGCTATACTCGTGATTGACTACGTGACATACAAGTTTTCCTTTATCAGCATTCACCGCCAAATTTTACCGCATGCTTAGAGAGCATTCGGTCCAGCTTAAGTAACGAAAACCAGCAAAGTCGCAGTAGTCAGCCTACGATTGATTAGACGTATCCGCCACTCACCGTGTCACAACTGAGTTGTAAAGCATAATGGAATATTAGTGCATTACAGATAAAAGCGATTTACTTAACAAGTCCAGTGGGAGTGCCATGATGAGAAGCACAAAAGGGAAGAACAAAGCATGATGATAAAATGAAAATCGTTTTGTCGGACTGACCGTAGTGTTCACATTGAGGCACGAGTACGACAACAAACCTCGGCTGTGTAAGAAAACGCAGATTGGTGCATGGATTGTAACGTGGTGTCGTCCCCTAATGTACACCGGCTATATTTCGTAATTGAGGGCGGTCACAGAAAATGTGAGTGAAAAGACAAAGTATTGAAGGCCGGCTTTCCATGGCTGACACATACGAATGGGAGTAAAGCTTCTGACGACATGCTAGGCAGCTGTATTATCCTAGATAATTGAACTGGTAGTCTCTCAGGTTCATGTTGTGACTTTGATGCAGTTGGTGGCCACAGAAGTTTTTGGGGTTAATCAGAAACTGGCAGGCTATTACTAGGTGACCACCGAGGTGCCAATAATTGATAATTAGTCAGTCATTATTACGTCTTGACTTAGGTACCTATGGTGGCCTCCGTACATTTTGTGATCCTCAGTCTGAGATGATACGAAAGTGGAACACCCCTTTGATGTGCTTAGTGGTTGTCCGCTGCTGGTTCTCGAACGGTGCGAGATCAGGCTTCTTCCAGGGCTACCAGGGATAGCTTATTCAACATGACGCTGCACGTATGTGTTATTCATCTGCGAGCAAACAGATAGATCAAACCGCCTAGGCACTCCATAGAAAACCAGCTTGATGGTTCCTATTCGTAGAAACCTTCTCAGATTGTTCTGAGTAGTCGAATTCTGTGTGAATTGGTACCCCAGTATCGCGGTCCTGAGTGAACTGATGCAAGCCGTAGTCACCAGGCTTCTGTGTGCTATTCGTCTACTGGAGAATGTGGATCAGCTTTCACCTTGACCAGAGACGTCCAAAGTTCGGTCTGCGAACCAAATGCGGCCTGCGTTAAGATTACAACTGGCCAGCGGCCTCAGCATGAAATAATAACTTCAGGATTGAACTGTTTTCATACATGTGTACTTTTTCTTATTATCCTAATATCAGGCAGGACATGGTTCGACATATTTTTACCTCACAAAAGTTGCCCTCCTTACAGAAAGTTTGGATATCCCTGACTTAGACTAACTAAACCTAGGCAGATTGTAGAATGATCACTTATCCCTGCTGCGCATATCTCGTTAAAGTGCATCGTAATCATTTTGGTCGGTGGTTGCACGCCAAATGTTAACATCATCCGCGAAAAACAAAAAATGGAGACAACTAGACGCGTATGCTGTTGAGCGACGCTAGGAATAGGCGTAGCTTCAGCAATAATCCTGATGGAACGCCGCACTCGACAAGAATCGTATCGGATAACCTACAGCGAGCTCTGACTGCAGTTGCTGCTGTTACAGGCTGTTCCTTGTTCACTCTATGACAGGCAGTCCGATTCCCTAGCCTTCGTGCCAGTGAAGAAAAATACGATGGTCTAAGCTGTCGAAGGCTTAGGAATAGTTGAGACAAATAACATCAACCTTAGTCCTTTGTCTACCGCTTCTGTCCAACTACCGCGTGCAACCAGTAAGTTGTTGTGCATGGTCGATAATGACGGAAACCATACTGCTCTGGTGCTATAGATTTTCAATTTTTTTAGATGATCGAGTACAGTTTCGTTGATGACTATTTCCATCGCCTCTGAGACCATAAGAAGGTGGAGGACTGGCTAATAGTTTGCAGTTCCGAAATGCTGCAGTTTTTAAAAACTGATTTGGCTTGTCAATGTGTTTACATAGTGGGCACCACCAGTTCATCGAGGTTACATCGAGGTTACCCATATCGCCAAACTACAAAGGAAGTGGTCCACGAGTGCTTAATGTCTTGCTTTACTCCAAACAAATGGTTGAAACGGTGTTCGGGAATTGGCACAAGTTCCGCACCAAATTGCCATCAGAAATACGTCTGAAGGCGGTTGGAACCAGGCCACCAATGGATAAGGGAACACGAAACCAGCAAGAAGTAGTCGCGATCCCCGCTGTCTGCATTTCTGTACCGGAACACAATGAAACGCCCCAGCCGTTCGATGAAGAAGGAAAAGACAGTCTGCTGCAGATCGACTCAGGGCGCTATAGGCATCCCACCGTAACGGCCCCGGGAAGTTTGCAAGAGACACATCAAAAAAACGTCCCTCAGCCGACCCAACAAGGGTCGGCGTAAATTCTCGGAAAACCAACGTATGTTCAAACACGCTTCTAACATCCGTCGTTCTCAATTGCCTTTATACAAACGCCCAAGGGCTTCTAAGCAAATTGGCAGAACTTCGATCTCGTCATAGGTCAATGTGTTGGGACCTCATCATGATAACTGAGACGTGGCTGAACGACATGATTAGTGACGCTGAGATCGAACTACCTGGCATGTCACTACTGCGTAACGATCGACCCACCAAGGGCGGCGGTGTAATTCTCTACTACCGTTCAGACCTTCTCATCGAGCTCATGAACGACCCTGGGATTCAAACCGTAGACTCCTTATGGTACTGCCTACACCTAAAGCACGGCGATAAATGCTTATTGGCCATCGTATATCGTCCACCAATGTCCACTTTAGAAATGGACAAGGCCCTGTCTTCTGCTTTGAAGAATTTACTGGAACGGTCATACAGTCATGTTTTGCTGGTAGGGGACTTCAATCTGCACGGCCTAGAAACCCCAGCCACCATGAGTGAACCATTCAAAGCCGATCTACAAGAGCTAATTGCAGGATCACCGCTGTACAACCATGTCACATCCCCAACGCGATTCAGGACAGGAAACAAACCGGCCATCTTGGACCTCGTTTTCACCAATGAGGAACTGATGATTGACGTAGTAACCACATCCACTCCCTTGGGCCGCAGCGATCATGCGACACTATTGTTCCAATACTTGTGTTATGCAGATTATCCTAATGAAAGCAACGTGGAATCTTACGTCGTAACCAACTACGATAACCTGGCAGAACTCATTAGTGCTACGAGCTGGTCCTTCTTAACTGAGTGGTCCCCAGAAGTGGCATGCGGGAAATTTGTCAACAAATTCAACACGCTCGTAGCATTGGCATCTAAAACCAAAATACCCCGACACGACAAGGCGAAGTCGTTTCTCAGAAGCAGGACCCGGAAATGCATGGGATTGAGGGATCTGGCATGGCGCGCCCATATAGCCTCTCCGAGCGAGGATACTTGGAACACCTATATTACACAAAGAAACCACTGTGTCACACTCGTCAGGGAGGATAAGGTAAAAAGCCAACAAGATCTTGTGTCAAAGTTCTGCGTTAACCCAAAGCTACTATACAGACACATAAATAAGCTTCGCCGCGTTAAGCGCGGAATTCCGGCTCTGCGCACAGCTTTCGGATTAGCACATACGGCACAGGATGCGGCGAACGTCCTAGGACAACACTTCGGCCGCACTTTCCAGTGTGTGCAAACATCCTGCACCATATCTAGGCAACTTATTCCGCCATCAGGCCTTAACCACATTTCCTTCACAACTGCAGCTGTATTGAAGCGGTTGATGTCGTTGCGCGAATTTAGCTCCCCGGGTGCGGACGGCATTCGGCCGAAAGCGCTGAAAGTTTCCGCCACGAGCTTAGCTGAACCTTTGGCGACACTCTTTCAGCGATGCCTTAACGAGATGCACGTCCCAACGATGTGGAAGCACGGGATCATCACTCCAATCCACAAAAATGGTAGCCGTGCAGATCCAACTAATTATCGTCCGATTACCCTTCTTCCGGTAATCTCCAAGATCATGGAGTCCATTGTAGCCGAGGCCCTCATGGAGTACCTGGAGAAAAACAACATCCTCGTTCCGGAGCAGCACGGATTTCGCCAAGGGAGGTCCTGCACAACTAATTTACTGATTGCTCGTCCAAACTGGACAGAGTCTGTGGACGCTGAAGTCGGAGTGGATGTAGCCTACTTGGACTTCTCTAAGGCATTCGACCGACTGGACCATCGGATTTTACTGAACAAGCTGCAGCATTGTGGTATCGGCAATCCTATTCTAGGATGGATAGGCGAATTTCTCGTTCAACGTCACCTGAATGTGAGAGTCCGAAATACCCTGTCGGAACCAATCGAAGTTCAGTGTGGCGTACCTCAGGGCTCGGTACTCGGGCCTCGCTTGTTCATTGTTTTCATAAATGATCTTGCAGCTGCACTATCTTCCAACTTTCTGCTGTTTGCAGATGACCTAAAGATATGGCGTGCCATAGCTTCAGGAGAGGATCACACAGCCTTGCAGGATGATTTGGACAAAGCATACAAGTAGTCAAACGAGAACATGCTACAGTTCAACACCACAAAGTGCAAAATCTTGAGCATACGCCATCAGAGTGCGTATAACTACCGCTTAGGACCTGACATTCTACAGCGGACCTCTCATGAGTGCGATCTTGGCGTGCTTGTACAAGAAGATCTTGGGTGCTTAATGCAGACCGAAAAGGCCTCCAAAAGAGCAAACCAACACTTTGGCCTTCTGCGTAGAGCGTTTGGGAAGTTTGACGCCTCAATCTTTCCGAAAATGCTTAGCGCTTTTGTTAGACCGCACACAGAATACGCTATTCAAGCGTGGCAACCATAGCAGAAGTGCCACCTCACTGCACTCGATACTGCACAACGCAGAGCGAAAAAATACGTCAAAGGTCTTTCCAGCCTTCCCTACCCACTCAGGCTGAAAACTCTTAACTTATACAGTGGACGTTACCGTCGTTTGAGAGGCGATCTCATATTGGTGTACCGGATA